CAAAATGCGACCCAATAAAATAACAGTTATTATATTTTCTGTTTCAATCTTTTTCCAGCAAAGTGGACAGCGAGCCTCCTCTCGAAAGTACTCCTGATAAAAAGCCCCAGTCCGAATGGCCGCAGGAAGGCAAGCGCCGCTGGAGCCGCCGGTACTTAAGAATCTTAACTTCGTTATCTTTCCGCGGGAGAAAATTGGCATCGTTGGTAGAACCGGCGCTGGCAAGTCATCCATAATCCAGGCACTCTTCCGCCTGTCCGACATGGACGGTCTGATTGAGATCGATGAAGTCGACACAAGCCAGATTGGCTTGCACGATTTGCGCTCCAAGATCAGTATTATCCCTCAAGAACCGTTCCTGTTCTCTGGCAGCCTGAGATGGAACCTCGATCCGTTAGACTCGTATATGGACGAACCACTATGGCAGGCTCTTGAGGAGGTCGAGTTGAAGGAGATGGGCTTGGAAGCCCATATCAATGAGGGCGGCTCCAATCTCAGCGTCGGCCAACGGCAATTGGTCTGCTTGGCGCGAGCTATTGTGAGGAACAATCCAATACTCGTGCTGGACAAGGCAACCGCGAATGTGGACCCGCGATCAGACGAACTCATCCAGACAACTATCAGGAAAAAATTCGAGAAGTGTACAGTGCTAACAATTGCTCATCGACTCAACACCGTTATGGACGTCGGAAACGTGGTGGTGAGTTAATTTTCTTTTATTTTGTCTTTTTATGAATTTCATGATTAGAGCGACCCTGGTGATGGACGCCGGAAACGTGGTGGTGAGTCAATTTTCTTTTATTTTGTCTTTTTATGAATTTCATGATTAGAGCGACCTATCGAATGTATTTAAGTAGGTCACAAAATCTTTCGTTTCTGTGGTTGTGGAAAATCAATGTATAATGAATTTATCGGTTATTCTTATGCCATATTTTATTCTTCTTGTTCCAGATTATGAAATTTATTTGCAATCTTTTAAAGCAACATAAATTATATCTGGATTTATATAAATATTTTATTGTATGAATCCTACGAATTTACCCTTCGATCATTTTTGTATTGTTTCATTAAAGTTTTTGTTGAGTAAGTCACTTATTAGTTGATACAGAATTACAAAATCTTTGACTATATAAATAATACTTATTACGTTAAGAAAATGCTTCATTTCTTTTTTATTTATAATAGTCTCGATGTAAACTATCTCTTAAACTGCGTACTTTTATATATCGTACGCAGGAATTCGATCATCCTCACATACTACTGCAAAAAGATATGGGCTACCTGAAGAGCATGGTGCAGGAAACCGGCAAGGCGATGGCGGAGGTTTTGTCTTCCGTCGCCCATAACTGCTATCAGAATCGTGGATTTA